TTGATTAGTCCAACTTGAAGGAAGCTTTCCGTTTGTTCCAATATAAAGCTTTCCCAAAGTGGGAGGAGGGAAGGATTTTGGCAGGGGGGTTCAGTGTGTAGGGATGGCTGACCTTTACCTCTCCAGCTGTGAACCCCCAGAAATAGCCAACCCTGCAATTGGGATTTAAAGAAGTGGTGACCAGGGGTAAGTGTGGGGTAGAGCGGAAGTTCTGCAGGGTGCATTTGCTCCATAGCTGCAAGCTTCTGTAAATCAGCAGAGCATTTTGCAAGCCATGCTAAATCCACTTTGCACCTCCATCACAATCAATGCCTTGCAAAAGTATTCACACCCTCAATTTGGCTTTTCCATTTGTTGTGTTACAACCTAGCACTGAAATGGATTTAATTGGCATTGCTACCACTTGCTGTACGCAAGAGACTCAACACTGTGCAGGTGCCATTTTTTATAGTGGCACACAAGCTAAGCAAACACAAACACTGCGTTGACACTTGCTAGAAAGACCTTTGGCAACAATTTCAGCTGTGACTCTCCTTGGGCAAGCCTCTGTCAGCTTTGTACGTCTGAGACCTGCAGCGTTTGCCATTCTTCCTGGCAAAACTGCTTCAGCTCTGTCAGGCTGGATGGGGACCATTGGAGAATAGCAATTTTAAGAATTGTTATAGATTAGATGGGATTGAGGCTTGGACTTTGATTTTGCCATTCTAAGATATTCCAGTGCTTGTTTTTGAACCACTCCAGTGTTACTTTGCTGAGTGCTTAGGGTCCTTGTCCCACTGGGAGGTGAACCTCTGGCCCAGTCCCGGGTCCCTTGCAGCTATTCCTTTACAATTGCCCTGTACTTGACTCCATCCATCCTGCCCTCAATCCTGACCAGTTTCCTAGTCCCTGCTGAGGAAAGGCACTTCCACATGATGCTCTCACCATGATGCTTTGCCATGGTGTTCCCACGGCAATGAGAGTTGTTTGTTTTGTGCCACACAAAGCATTTTGCAGCAAGCCCAAAAAGTCATGTTGGCACCATCAGTCCAGAGAACACTTCCCACAACTTGGCTGTGTGTCCCACATGCCTTTCCACAAACTCCAAACAGCCTTTGCTATGGGTTTGCTTCTGCGGTGGCATTGTGTTTGCCACTCTTCCATAAAGCCCAGCTTTGTGGAGTGTCAGGCTGACAGTTGCCCCATGGACGGTGTCTCCCATCCCAGCTGCAAATCTGTCCAGGTCCTTCAGAGCGAGCATGGGCCTCTGGGTTGCTTCTCGAAGGCCCTCCTTAGCAGGCCACTGAGTTTTGGTGGATGGCCTTCTCTAGGCAGAGTCATGTTTGAGCCATATTCTTCCATGTTGTAAGACTGGATTTAAAGGTGCTCCAAGAGCTCTTCATAGATAGTTATTCTGAATAGTCCAACACTGATTGTTGCTTCTGTGCAACTTATCCCAGAGTTGTTTGACTAGTTCCTTGGTTTTGATGATTCTGCTTGGTTAGCTCTGCTCTCCAACAAACTCTGAAGCTTTCTGGAAGTGGATGTATTTAGTCTGATGTTATGTGGCACTAGAATTACACATAGGTAAGCAACATTCAACTAATTACAAGCTGTGACTTCTGGAGGCAGTGGGTTACATGAGAGTTCATTTAGGCACATCCCTAAAAAGGTGGTGAATGCTTATGAAAGTGACAATTGGCGGTTTGTTTCTGTTTACTTTTGTTTCATAATACAAATATTCAGCACCTTCCCAGTGTTAGGTATCTCATTTACACCAAATGGTAACAATGGCAAATATGGCAAAGTTCCAGGTTGTAACACAACAAAATATGGGGGTGAGTACTTCTTCAGGCACTGCTTTTTCATAGATATGTGAATATTGTCAAACCAGAATTAATGAGGTAAGAAAGCCATTGCATCCTGAATATGTCCTCTAGTCAATGTTGTTTTGAAATTCATGGTTATAGGGCTTGGACGTCCAAACACAGCATGAAAATGATCTTTGTTTTGAGGAATTTAGATAACACAATGTTTTCACCACTTTTAGTACATTTCTCAAATACATGCGAGTCTTAGCTCAATGCCATATAAATTTTCATGCAAAGAGAATTTTCCTTATACAGGACTTGCTGGATCTGGTTTATGTCCATATTAAGCCTGCAAATTTGGCTGGTAGCCCAACTTGCTGTGTCAACAGAGCATTATTTATCCACTCCTCAGTAGAAAGGGTCCCTCTATGTGTTTCTGTGCTTTTCTTAATGTTGCTGTGGAAACAAAGTAGTCTCACAGGGGATTAAAGGGTGTACTGTTGAATGTTTACTTTCTTGCCTACATAGTTGTGTCATTGATTTGAGCCATTGATGGATGCATCAAAAGAGCATTCTGAAAACTGATATGGCTACTGCATCCTGTGTTCCAGGGTCCTTTCTCTTCTACATGAATGATGCTTTAGGGTTTCTCTTGAGATGTGAGATGGCAGCATAATGATGCCCCTTGCTGGGACACTGTAGGGCCCCCCTCTCTCCATCTTTGGGGTCTACCTTCTGAACTTCTGGCAAAGAAGTCTCAGTTCATTCCCTGGACCCTTGTGTGGTGTGTGGAGACATAGAGCTGTATGGATGAAGGAACCAAAACAAGCTAATCTAAAATCTGACCCTTAGTCCTGCTCACAGATTAAACCCTACCATTAGGTGGAATGAACAGATGCAGAGAACAGTAGGAAGATGTTAGAGGGCAGAGCTGTGTGCTCACTGCCTGGCCTGCCCTGTGCCCCCAGAGAGGGCCTGTCATATCAGTCTAGTTGCTTTCTGGAAACGGAATGAGGAGAGGCGTGAGTTTGTCATTTGCCTCAGACAGCAAAACAGCATGGGCTGCCCTTAGAGATCCACGTCAACAGTCATTTATTTATTTAATAAATAAAATTCTATCCTGCTTTTTCACCAAAAATGGTGCAATTCTCCTTGAAGTACCATTTATGTCCTTTCCATATTTTATGGAATGCATTTTATGTATTTCTTTTCTTTGTGCAATCCCATAAGTCTAAGGCTCGGTGCATCTTAATGCCATCAGTTGTCCTGGGTTAACAAAGCCATCACTCCCTGCTTTACGCGTATAAGAGGTGCAATAGGTTGAAATGTGCTGAAGTCCAGCAAGCCTTACCAAGACAAAGCTCTCCACACGCTTCTTTGTCTGAACCTGAGCAATGTAGACATTCTTACTCTGCAGAATAGGACTCCGTATCCCAAAACACTTCCCTCTGGGTGATACAAATATCCAGCAAATTACACAGGCACAACATCCTGGAGTCCCTTATCTATGTATAGGGTTTTTGTACTCTTTCGATAGCAGTTCTGGGATAACAACTCTGAAATAACAAGCTGTGATTCTGACTGTGCACCCTTAAATCTTGCGAGGGAAATATAGAAGCAATGTGGCAAGGAAGTTCTCAGCTGTAATGTGCATGTGGGAAAACATGATGTGACTCAGACATGTTCTGACCAGAGCCATGCTTTTGTGGAAAACTATGATTGCCTTCTTAAGCTTCCAATGATATTCTCTGTTTGAACCATGAAAAGCATTTTGGGGCCAGGTGGAACATTGCTTTCATCTCTGAGTCAAGATAAAATCACCAAGGTTGCTCTTAAAAAACATCAGCAACATCAGCAATAACTGGCAATAATGCTTCTTTATGAAAGAGAATGTGCAGAAAAAAGAAATAAACAATTTTATTATGGTTGAAAAGAAATAAGCAACACCACAGTATGGAATTAATAAGTTTCCCAAAGAACTGCTATATAGACAAATCCATATTTTTCCATACATGCAACCTTATGGGTTGAATCCAGACTTAGTCATACTCAGAATTATATCCAGTGAAGCCAGTGGTACTTAATTATAACCAGTGAGGTCAATGGTACTTAGCTGTGATTAATTTGTCCCATTGATTTTACTACTAAGCCTGGATCCTACTTCATAGAAACAAGCAGCACTTAAAAACATGCGGATGGAAAATAAAAGCTGGTAGCAGAAAACACTTGCTGTAAAACACTCTCTTTTACTGAGAGCAGTTCACAGTCTTGAGCTGTCAGCCTTTGGTAGAGGCATGGAGTTATCGGTCTAGTCTGGGAAACTGGTATAGTTGGTTTACTAAGTATATTTAGGTTTTGATTTTTCCAGTCCGTAAGATAAGTGCACCGCAACACACAGTGGCATTCTTTTCTCACTTAGGTGTATTCTGCATCCACCTGGCTAAGACGGAAACAGCGCCTTGGTCTATATAATGCTGTAAAAAGTAGCTTTCCTTGTATGAGCCAGTCACAATATTTCACATGTCTTGTTGTGTGCATTTGAGGAGATCACTAAAAACAATGTAATGAACTGTGAGGTATAGGACACAGTAGCTATATTTCTGGTTGCAACTTTCCCCACTGTATCTCATTATTTCTCTTCTACTTAAATATAGAGGTAGGACATTCCGTACTTTTCCCCAGACTTAATACTAACCTTATTTCTATTCGAGGTACAAAATAAAGGGCAATTAAGAGGACAGATTAACCTTTATATAGCATTCCACAAGACTGAGAAATAGTTGTGTTTCAGAGATCCAGGTGTGAATGCAGGTGAGCAGCATTATGTTCACTGGAAGAGTATCCATGCTGGACCCACTTCAGAACTAAGCACATCAGGGCAGTGACCCTAAACTCAGCATAGCCATGCCTGTTACCTTTGTTTGCCAGTTTTCTCCACAGGACAAGACTCTTGTTTGAGTAAGTGCTTTCTTCTAATCTACTGCACCACGACCCTAGTTCAATCCAACATATGATTAGGGTAAAGTCTCAGCATGGCCGTATTGCTTTTGTGTGTATAGAGTATAAGCCACTAATAATTTAGCTGGCAAGTAGTTACAATAAATGAATGTACTCTAGGAATAAATATATGTTTCTGGTTTGTGGAAAGAGGTCAAGAGCAGCTCCAGGTAATCATCGAGGTCACAAGTGGCCTAGTGTCCATGTGTCTGCTCAAGTCGATAAAGCAGGAGACACCACGGTTGTGTTCTTCCACCTGAGGAAGAACTTGAGGGAGGAAGATATCTCACGGTATCGAAGGCCACACAGGTAAGGTGACAAAGCTTTGGGCAGAATGATCAGCACATTGCAGATGATCAGAGAAACCCATACTCCTGTCTGTGGCCCAATTATAGCATTGACATAAAGCAGTGCCTCCACCACTGCAGCCAACAGAGGAGTGAAATGAAAAAACAAGATAATATGGTGCATCAGGAATGTCACACTGGCTCTAGAGAAGATGCTCTTCCATATTCCTGACTGCTTTGTTTTGAAATACAGGATAACATAACAACAGAGGATGAGGGACAGACAGAGAAGAAGGGCAGAGATTGAAAGTACATAGCAGAATTTCACGGCTTCATCTCCTTGTAAAGTCATGACCAGTATTATTGGCACAGAACAGTTTTCCACTGGACAGGTGGAGGGTTTTTGAGTGACCTTTAGGATTAAGAAGATAATTCCAGGGCAAATGCCAGAGGAGACCCATAGGAGCAGTATCAGCTTTTTTGCTCGTGAAGAAGGCAAAATGGATATGTAATGTAAAGGCCACAAAATGGCCAGATAGATGTCCAGCACCATTGCTACAGCTGTTAACAACCCTCCACAGTAAGTCATTGCCAGCAAAAACAGCAGGATCACGCAGGCGCTTTTGGAGAGACTGAAGCTGGACACACTGAAAACGGCAGACACAGCATAGAGTATCAGATAGATCAAATCACAAAGCAAAGCATTGGCCAGCAGCAGGTACCTTGTTTCCTGACGTATGTTGTCACGAGAAAAAATCACAAACAAGATGAAAGGGATGACTAGGATGGCTGCTGTAAGGCAAACTATTGGTGGTATCAGGAACATCTTCGTCTTGGAGGATGGAGGGTAGATGATCCATTCTTGCAGGCTCTGCAAAGGAGGTTTCTCCAAAGAGAAGGTCGTATTAATGACCAATTCTCTGTAGTAGATGGTCTCATTCAAAATCCTTGCAGGTACACATAGGGAGAAGTTCATTTCTCCTAGCGATGTGGAACCCCAGAGGATGTAGGCCGAGCAAATCCGTCAGCTCTGAGCTTTGGTGGCAGCAGGCGCTTATGCATTTTACAGCAACCACAAAACCATGGGTAGCCAGCTACCCAGCTGGTAGCGATATCTGCAGGCAAAACAGAGAGGTTTATAAGGGCATTCCAAAAGTAAATCCTGAAATATTTAACAAAAGGCAGATCTCCCCACAAGCAAAAAATGTAACACCTGGAGAAGAGGAAAACACCTTCATAAGACATAGAAATCAAACTGCAGAGCAAGCACTCCAGGAAGGAAAGAAAGCTATCAATAAGAACTTGAGTTTACTGTAGCAAAGTAGCAGATGGAATATTAGCTTGATTAAACAGATGTGATGATATAAAAGGGGACATTCCAAATGTGCCAGTGCAATCAAGTCGTAAGTGGAGCGAGAGAATATACTGGAGTGTTTAAATGCAATAAGAAATGTTTGGAGTCAATGCAATCAATAAGAGCCATGCTCTTAGCTCCTGAAATACGAGAGCCTCATAATCCTTTTTATAGGTGGTTTTTAGCAACTGTAGCCATATATTTCCAATTAATCTGAAAGACTTGGAATCACACAGACACATGTAATGGCAACATCCTATATATACTTATTACCTGCTAGGAGATATGTATGTAATTTGGGTTCAAAATGAGGGCTAAAGTGCTTTATGTTTTCTTCATGTGTTCAGCTTAACTGGTAACATCACTTAGACTGGCGTAATCTCATAAAATTTAATTGACTAATCAACATTGAAGAGCTGAAGAAGTTAAAGTCTTATGAGTTCTGATACTATTAACATATAGCGACATATGTTGCATATATAAACATGCAAGTATATGCACGTTTCCTAGTTCATCCCCAGCTTTTCCTTGTACATGATTGGCTATGGGAGTTAACCTCAATTCCCCAGAGACAGAATTTATGCTATATTCCTATTCCTAATCCTACATTGCATGTATTTCTCACCTTTCTTCCTTTTGCAAGAACCCCAACCTGCTAATGAGATTCTTTTCTGTACTTGCTCATTTGAAACATCTCCCACCACTCCAGACAGGCTAACACTTCATCTACAAACTACCCGGGCTAGCTAAAGCTCCTAAGAGGGATGCTTATGCTACAGGGCATGCCAACTCCAGTGGGAAGATAGTACACACACACTTTTCTGCTCTGAGGAAAAAAGAGGCATGGGTTACAGGGCTGGGAGAAACAGCAGAGGTACGGCATCAGATCCAAGAGTTTGCACCTTGGATCCTAAACCACTTTCCATGGGCTAACACAGCAATGGGGAACCTCTGGCCCATGCACCAGATCTGGCCTCAGCCCAGCCTACCAGCTCTCCTCAGGCAAGATTCCTCTTCTCAGTCATGCCCTTCTTCATCATGGCTTCACCTCTCCTCCAGGGCCCTCTTCCTCCAGAAATCCTTCGCAGCGTCCTGAGCGCTTGTCATTTCCTTAGGCTTCTTCCTTCTCCGTTCTTCGTTCAGCACCCATCAGCCCTCAGCTGCTGGATGTCCTTGTCGGCCATCACTGGCACTGCTCAGCATTCAGAAGTGCGTGGTGATCATTGCTAGTGCGCATCCGTTTTGGCAGTGCTGGAGGAAGTGAAGCCAAGCACATCTGACAATCGATTGACGAGCACTGGACAGAAAGGTCTGGAGGGAGAAGTGGGGGAATATGAGGAAATGTCACTGAGCATATCCAAATGTTAATGAGTATTGGCATATTGCCAGTTGGTGAAGAGTGACTGGGGCACTGACCTAGCCAATCGGCAGAGGGGGAAGAGCAGAGTAGGTGTGGTGCCAGTCAGTGTGGATGGTTTCCTCTCTTCCTCTTGCTTAAAGCTGTTGCATTCGTTGGCAGCTCAGGGCCAAAGGCCTGAGTAGAAGTACTGTTGACGTAGTGTCGGGGCAAGGGGCACTTTAATTCTCTCCCCCCTTCCTCCCTGCAGTTATGTACTGAATTGGGCCCTGTGCACCTGTAATTCAGAGTTCCAAATAGTGGTCCATGAAAAAGAAATTTTCGTGTATTCATTTCTATACCTTTCAATAGCTGAAGCTCGCTGGGTGGTTTAGAACATATAAAATACATCATAAAATGCAACAGCAATGAAAACATCATAAAAAGATTTCCATACAGTATTTAAAATTGGATTTAAAATAAACATTAAGAAGGTAACAATTGCTTAATTCATATGGTCTGTTTTATTCCATATATTTAAATAAAGGCTGACTTCCTGCTACGTACAAGATCACACTTACTCTCTGACCATTCTCTGTGCCTTCTTGGGTGATCTTACCTCCTGCTGAAACACATAATCAGTACAGTGTTTGTTATCAACCATCCTTTTCCAGACCTTAAGAAATATTGCCTGGAGGCATCCACACTACCAGAGGTATCTGTAGGAATCTTTCAGACCAACCCCAGACCCAATCCTCTCCCACCGGGCAGAGCCCGCTCTTCCCCTTGGTATACTCCTGAATTGAGGGCGATGAAGCAGGTTGGGAGACGACTAGAGCGTAGGTGGAGGAAATCACGAGATGAATCTGACCGAACACACTTAAGAGCCCACTATCGGGCCTATGCTGTGGCGGTGAGGGCGGCAAAAAAGAGATTCTTTTCCGCTTCCATTGCCTCCTCACAATGCTGTCCAGCGGAGCTCTTTCGAGTGGTGCAAGGCCTGGTCCGTCCAGGTCCAAAGGAAGACCTGATTCCACCCTCAAAGGCCCGCTGTGACGACTTTGCCAGGCATTTCAGGGAGAAAATCGCTCAGATTCGTCACGAGCTGGACACCACTATTGATTCAGAGGTTTCAAAGGAGACACCAACGCTGCCGTCTGGTCCAGATTTATTGGATGAATTTCAGTTACTGCGGCCCGATGATGTGGACAAGGTGCTTGGGCGAGTACGTCCAACCACTTGCCTTTTGGACCCTTGCCCGTCTTGGTTAATAAATGATTCCAAGCACGGGATTGGAACCTGGATCTTGGAAGTGGTTAACGCTTCTCTGAGGGAGGGTCGGGTGCCTGCCCCTTTGAAGGAGGCGGTAGTCCGACCGGTCCTGAAGAAGGCGTCACTGGATCCAGAGATGGCCACTAATTATAGACCAGTGGCCAACATCCTGTTTCTGGGCAAGGTGTTAGAACGAGTGGTGGCGGGACAACTCCAAGCACTCTTGGATGAAACTGATTATCTGGACCCATTGCAGTCCGGCTTTAGACCCGGGTACGGTACTGAATCTGCCTTGGTCGCCCTGTATGATGACCTGTGCAGGGAGAAGGACAGGGGGAGTGCGTCCCTGTTGGTTCTTCTGGACCTCTCAGCAGCTTTCGATACCATCGACCATGGTATCCTCCTGGATAGGCTTGCGGGATTGGGGGTTGAAGGCACTGCTTTGCAGTGGTTCCGCTCCTATCTCAATGGCCGGTTCCAGAAGGTGGTGCTGGGGGACTATGGCTCTGCGCCATGGCAGCTATGCCATGGAGTACCGCAGGGGTCCATTTTGTCCCCTTTGCTGTTCAACATATACATGAAACCGCTGGGAGAGGTCATCAGGAGGTGTGGGCTGCGGAACCATCAGTACGCTGATGATACCCAGCTCTACCTCTCGTTTTCCACCAATCCAGGTGAGGCAGTGGCTGTGCTGAACCGGTGCCTGGCCGAGGTAATGGGCTGGATGAGGGCCAATAAACTGAAGCTCAATCCAGACAAGACGGAGGTCCTGTTGGTTGGTGGATCGGGCTTCGGAGAGGGTGAATTGAACCTTGTCCTGAACGGGGTTGCACTCCCTCTTAGGGACAAGGTCTACAGCTTGGGAGTGCTCCTCGACCCAGAGCTTTCACTGGAAGCTCAGGTAACAGCAGTGGCGAGGAGCGCTTTCCTCCAGCTTCGGCTAATTCATCAGCTGCGCCCCTATCTGGAGAATGACTGCCTTGCGACAGTGACACATGCGTTGGTGACTTCCCGTCTGGACTTCTGTAACGCGCTCTACGTGGGGCTACCCTTGAAGACGGTCCGGATACTTCAATTGGTCCAAAATAGAGCTGCCAGGCTGCTGACGGGGACTGGACGTTATGTTCACATGACTCCAGTTCTCCGTCAGCTTCACTGGCTTCCCATTGAAGTCCGGGCCCAATTCAAGGTGTTGGTAATGACCTATAAAGCCCTAAACGGCTTGGGTCCTGGTTACCTGAAGGAGCGCTTACATCCTTATATGCCCAGCCGTCCCCTGAGATCGGCGGGAGAGGCCCTTCTCCGGGAGCCCTCCATGGAAGAAGTTAGGAGGGTGGTTACTCGGAGGAGGGCTTTCTCAGCGGTGGCGCCTAAGTTATGGAATGTGCTCCCCAGAGAGGTCCGCCTGGCGCCGTCGTTATTTGTTTTTCGGCGCCAGGCGAAGACCTTTTTATTTAAGCAGTATTTTAAATGTTAATATTATTGAATTTTATTTGGCCAGGGCGGCTTGTTTTATAGTGTATGTTTTATATTATATATTTGTATTTTATTGTATATATTTTAAAATGTTATTTTAACTTTTTGTTGTAAGCCGCCCCGAGGCTTCGGCGAATGGGGCGGCATAAAAATGTTTTAATAAATAAATAAATAATCAAAATAAATTACAGAATCATATTTATCTTTCTCTCCTTTCAGTCTTCTGTGAATGTGTGTGTGTGTGTGTGTGTGTGTGCATGAATATGAACAAAAGAATGAATGGGAATAAGGGTGTGAGAGAATATGGATGTCTGGATGTACCTTTGCATATGAGGGAGGGAGGGAGACAGAATGTGTGGGAGGTCCGTCCACCCCTGTTTTAGTTCCACCCACCTTTGCTGTTGGAAAGGGGCATAGGGGGCTTGGAAGGCAGCCATTGTGCTGAAAACTCTTGCCCACTGACCCTTGGACTACCCCACGTAACAGATGGAAGGTGGTCAGTCACATTTCATGCAAGACAGCAAAGTAGTTGTAATGG